GCAAAATTCTTTTTGCCAAGATCAATTACAGCTTTGTTTAATGTAGTCCCTTGTAATTTGTGCACCGTTACTGCCCAACTTAGAATAAGTGGTAACATTCTGCGCTCGACGTCTCCATAACCTTTCGTCGCTTGAAACGTTGCTACAACTGGAGATATTGGAATGTAACCGTCGGTATCTTTGAATCTATTTCCAATCGACTCGTCGTCAAATTTTATAAGTGCTGAGTCTGGCAACTCTCCCTGTTCTAGTTGATCTCTTCGAAGTGCCGGCCATGTAAATTTCTTCACTATTCCCATTGCGCCGTTTATCAAACCATCAGAAATTGATATATTTCATCGCAACATTGGTAAAGTTGCTTTTACATTGGTAAAAGTTTCATTTAGCAAAAATGAAAAATAAAAAAGTTATGGTTAAATTAATATTGTCTCACTCAAATGTTTTTTCTCGGGCCCTTTAATTCTCGGACCTCTTTTTCTTTCGCTATTTGTCTTTTTCTACGTTCGCCAGCATTCAAGAACTCGCTCGAGCTGTGTCGTTCTGCCAGCCTCGCACACTTTTAGGAGAATCGGGAAAATCCAGCATAATAACACATTCTATGCTGAAAGAATATAATAACAATGTTATCTATCTAAAAAAATTTTAATAAATCTGACAACAGATTTATTTTCGGGCTGCTTTTCTTAAGTAATCAGCATTTTACCAGTCTCCTGTACAGATCGTGTGTAGCAGTTTGTAGCAAACTCAACATATTTTCGATATTACAGTAAAACCTGGATAAATGCAACGAAAGAATGCTTGGATAAGTGCAACATCGCTATCCCCTCCACTTAGGGAGATCCCCCTAGACGAACCGAGCCGCTCGACGAGAAAACCGTGTAATATGATCCGACTGTAATATCGGTGTGACTAATACTAATTGAACGATAAACTTTTTTTATTTTTAACTTTTTCTTAATGAAACTTTTACTAACGCATTTGTGAGATTTTTCTGATTAAAATGACACCAAACATGATATAGTTTGAATTATATTTATAAACAATAGTAATAGAATAAACAACATAGAATTGACACCACGACTGAATATAAATGATGTCGGCTGAATACAAAAGATGTGTACGGACACAGAATCGGCATGTCGGCTGAATACAAAACATGTGTACGAACGCAGAATCGGCACCACGCTTGGATAAATGCAACATTAAATGCCCAGAATCGACACCTCGCTTGGATAAATGCAACATTAAATGCCCAGAATCGACACCTCGCTTCGATAAATGCAACATTAAATGCCCAGAATCGCCACCTTGCCTGGATAAATGAAACCTTTGAAACCAGAGCCGACACCGCGACTGGTTTTGATTTCGATCTCTGTTGCTTTTCGCCAACATTTAACATCATTTTTGGCAAGTAATTATAATTCAAACTATATCGTGTTTGGTATCATTTTAATAAGAAAAATGTCACCAATCCGCTGGTAAAAGTTTCATTAAAAACAAGTCAAAAATAAAAAAGTTTTATAGTTGAATTAGTATTAGTCACACTGATACGTTTCGGCTCTTTCCTTTCATCATCGGACCTCTCTCTTTCTACCACTGTCTATCCCTTTCTACGTTCACGCTTGGCTGGTCGTCGCGTGTAACCCGAGATTCGACACCTCGCTTGGATAAATGCAACCACTGGGTCCCAATCTTGGTTGCATTTATCCAGGTTTTACTGTATGTAAAATACACAACCACTCGCTTATTTCGAAGCAATCCTGTATTTCTTCCACAAGAGACGGTTTCCTAACAATTTACAGTACAGTAAAATCTGGATATGCATATGCAAGAGAGATTGGGATCCAAGCGAGGTGTTGAATCTCGGGTTACGCGCGACGCCAGCCAAGCGTGAACGCAGAAAGGGACAGGCAGTGGAGGAGAGAGAAAGGTCCAATGATCAAAGGAAAGAGCCGAAACATATCGGTGTGACTAATACTAATTCAGTTATAAAACATTTTTATTTTTGACTTTTTGTAAATGAAATTTTTACTAGCGCATTGGCCAGATTTTTCTAATTAAAATGATACCAAACACGATATAGTTTAAATTGTAATTACTTGCTAAAATTGATGTTAAAAGTAAACGAAAAGTCAGAGAGATCGAATCAAAACATTGCATATGCATATCCAAGCGAGGTGTCGAAGTTTGATCGGACGTCTTGCATATACCCAGGTTTTACTGTACTGTAAATTGTTAGGAAACCGTCTCTTGTGGAAGAAATACATCGTAGAAAGGAAATAGATGAACAGCGATCACCTTTATTATACTATTCATTGTTGGTCATTTATTTCATTTCGATGGCCCTTGACATATAAAAAGCGGCACTAAATATCCTGGATTTTTAATATTTGTCGATCGGTTGTGTATTCTACATAATATCGAAAATATGTTGAGTTTGCTACAAACTGCTACACACGATCTGTACAGGAGACTAGTAAAATGCTGATTACTTAAGAAAAGCAGCCCGAAAATAAATCTGTTGTCAGATTTATTAAAATTTTTTTAGACAGTTAACTTATTGTTAGTATATTCTTTCAACACAGAATGTGTTATTATGCTGGATTTTCACGATTCTCCTAAAAGTGTGCGAGGCTGACAGAACGACACAGCACGAGCGAGTTCTTGAATGCTGGCGAACGTAGAAAAAGACAAATAGCGAAAGAGAAAGAGGTCCGAGAATTAAAGGGCCCGAGAAAAAACATTTGAGTGACACAATATTAATTTAACCATAACTTTTTTATTTTTCATTTTTGCTAAATGAAACTTTTACCAATGTAATTGTAAGGTTCTTCTGATTAAAATAAGACCAAACACGACATAATTTGCATTATATTTACTTATTTATTTAAAACCTAATGCAAATATATAAAGTAACTATAATTCAAATTATTTCGTGTTTGATCTTGTTTTAATCGAAAAATTTCATCAATACGCTAGTGGAAGTTTCATTCAAAAGAAAAATCAGTCATTGTAAAGCAATGAAGCGTAAGTGCAGATTAAGTACACAAAAAAAACATAAGGTTTATACCAAGCTTAACATTTTCTATTGTATTATGGTAATCACTATATTATAGTTTTGTTTCCTTGTTGTATTATAGGAAAGTAAAATATGCAATATCGTATAAGCGTGGACCAGGTGCAATAGTTGCAAGAAACCTGATATGTATTGTAACCGTACATTTGTACAGTTACATAGTACAGTACAAAGTAGCGTAGATTTTTCGTAAGAGATCGGAACTATAGCGATGGTACGTGCTATCCCTACTTATTCATGATAGTGGAGCGCGTGCGCGGATCCCCTCCTTCGAACGCCGGATCGAAGGAGCTCAGTGTCGATCCATCGATCGACACTCTGGTCCCAAACGACAAGCAGAACGGACGTTTTCGCCTACGGCTCTCTTCCTAGAGACAACCGTCTTAAGATTGCGATCCAGCAAGTCGTGACTAGAGCCCGAGCTTGGTCATCTCCCTTTCATTTAGTAGTGGCCTTCTATCTTGGGACTCAGCACCCTCGAAAGATCGCTCTACACAGGCATATCCGAGACGTCGTTGATTCCTAGGGAAACCTAGTCGAGTCATCATCGTTTCGCTTGTGCTCTGGCAATTTTACATTGCAATTTGGAGGGCCGTGATCTCGCTCTTGGCAGTCTTAATTTCTTCCTTGAGTACGCCGTGTACGACAGGAAGAACGTTGACGGATTCCAGCAAATCCACTGTTACGGATACTCTCAAATTCACGTATTTCAATCTGCAAAGGAGTCGGGGGTCGGGACTTAGTGCGCGACCTTCTCATCCTTTGATTGTGAGTGAAATCGTGAAGTCAATGCCCCTGTCGATCTGAGGTTCGCAGGTGAAAACCTCGCTTGACCGGAAGTATCCTCGGAATCCACTGGCTCGCCATTCTGCGATTTGAGAGGCGCGTTAAAGCTAATATTTCGCTGTACGGTTAGTAAATTTAAACGTTCCGTTTTTTGCCTACGCGCTCCAGGATCACGCGACCGTCGTGCGTCGTGATTTCGGTGTATGTTTTCAAGACGAATCGAGCGAACAATAACTCGTCCTTGGTGAAAGGCGTTTAAATCGTAGACGACCGACGAAATTTTGTAACCGTCGTGTGGATATTACCTTTCGCATTCCGATTAGAGTCACGGTATTGCGTTCTGGTCCTTTTTGGTATATTCTTTTATATTTTCGTATATTTTCTTATATTTTCCTAAATGCGTTATTCAACCAGTCATTTTTCCGTATAAAAGAAGACTGAGTTTTTTGAGTCGCGTTAAAGTCGCTCGGCTGGTTGAGATCTTTTCTTTACGTTATATTTCCTTCTATTTTCTTAGGTTATATTCTATTCAATAATAATTATTCCGCGATACCTAAGGTGCGTTATTCAACCAGTCATTTTTCCGTATAAAAGAAGACTGAGTTTTTTGTTAAGTCGCGTTAAAGTCGCTCGACTGGTTGAAATATTTTCTTTTGCGTTACCATTCTTGTATTACATTTCCGATTCGTGTAAATCCGATCTGCGTGCCCAGCACGAATTATTGACGATTAATCTAGTCAGGTCCGTTGTATAGTATATTTTATAACAAGCGCGTCTATTGAACATTTATGAGATGAGAATTGCGTTCCGTTGATTGTTAAATGCGTAAACTGCCATAATGTTTGCGGTGCTTCCACCATTCTGTGATAGGCTCTTTTGCCATACTCCAGTCACTAATATTTTTGTTGAATAATTCAGTATTTTGTTACACCGCAAACCTACGTCTCATTACTGACTTCACCGTTCTTTCTGTCTTCGCAAACGCGCAGCGAACGCGAACCACTCCTTGAGAATCGTAGGGAAAATCGTACGCTCGTACTACTCGCGTTCATTCTCCTTCATAAAAAGTAGTAAAAGAAAAACGTTACATTTGTCGCCCAACTAAGGGGCAGAATACGGTGACCAGTAAATTAGTAAAATGGCAAAAGAGACGCGGGCGAAAACGCGAAAACAACAAGATGTGTTACGGGACGAATTATTAGATTCGGACGATAGAACGGACGAAACAATTAGCCCTGCGCTATTCGGAGGCCCGCGAATTCAGAGATCACCGATTGTGACAGCTACATTACCAGACAAAACAAGCGACAACCCGCCGGCAACTGCTCCATCTAAAACAGGGGAAACGGGCGCGACATTAAATAGTATTTCTAACTTACTTATCGGCCTCACCGAGAAACAAGACAGGCAGGAGGCGAAGTTAGCCCAATTAGAAAAAACCTTGTCTGAGCGGATTGATTCCCAGATTAGACAACAGGGGGAAGAGTTATTCCAATCTTTAACTCAGGTTCGAACAGAGGTCCGGGAAGATATCCTAGGTTTTCAAAACAGGTTAGCAGAGTTGAACGTGGCAAGTCAACAAGCCACGACCGCGAATAATACACAATCGCGACGCGTTCCATCAACCGGTTCTCGTGTTGAATCTCGTCCCCCATTAGAAAGACCGTTTCGGGTAAAACCTCAATTTCCATCATTTGAGGGCACCTCAAAAGAACGTCCTCCCAAGTTTCTTCGGGAATTGGAGCGTTTTGTTAGAATTTCACGCGTTCAGGAGGATGAAATGCGACTTATTATCGATCAAGCCCTCAAAGGAGTGGCAAGCGATTGGTGGGATTTAGTTTCGGGAGACATTCGCACCTGGGATGATTTTGCGTGCGGATTCCTGTCCCAATTTTGGAGCACGACTGTGCAGCGTAAAATTCGAACTAACCTGGAAACAGGTTATTATCGTGATGACTCGGGAACAACAAGAGTCACGTATGCCATGCGTTTAATTGGGGATGCGAGGGACCTGACACCGCGTCGAAGCGACGATGAAATCGTCCAAATATTGGCTCGACATTTTACCCAAGCGGTCCACGATTCAGTCACCGCGCAGAACATCACGACAGTCGATGCTTTTCTTACACTACTCGACCGATGGGACAATGGGGGAACAGTCAACCGATCGCGCGCCCAACCACACGACTGGCAACGATTTGATCGAACGAGACCACCAATGGCTCAGCAAAATAATGCCCAGCAGAATATCGCTCCGAGAAATCCAATGTATGGAAACAGAGGATTTCTCCAACGGGACAATTCCGGACCCAGGGAAGGGCCACGAGACCAGCCAAGACAAACACCTATGGCTCAAGACACTCGACCAAGACGGGATCAGACACCAGTAAGGGTCAGAATTTCTGAGGTGGCTCCCGAAATTCAACCGGAAGCCACCGAGCAACCCGATGAAGTCTCGGAAGAATCGGGAAACGAACAATGAGCGTTCCTATGAACGAACTGGACTCCTCCCCGACGAAAGTTCAAGGAACCTCCTCTAAAACAGAGAAGGGGAAAATCACCACATTGTTCCCAGATCTGCGTGAAGAACTTGCAGCAAGCAACCCCGGCGTGAAGAAAGACCATAAGATCGTCACCAGTCAAAGTCCTGAAGTCAAAATCTTCATTCAGGACATCCCAGTAAATGCACTCGTGGACACCGGTAGTATGGTTACGGTAATGTCTGAAGCATGGTTCGATCAACATCTGTTCCAATTAGATAAATGTCCATCATTGCCGATCAGTAGCAGCTTTGTCATAGGTGCAACCGGATCGAAATCGGCTCGCCTCAAAAAGCAGATCCTTGCCACGATCCGATTGAAAGACACCCAATTCCTTGTTCCCATGATCATTGTTCCAAATCTAATCCATGATGTCATCCTTGGAATCGACACATTAAGAGCGATAAAATCGAAAATTGACCTTGAAGAAGATCTGTTGAAGGTTACCATCAAAGATAATGAAGAGCAGATCACCATGGCTCCATGTGATGAAGACGAAGCACCCAACCTCGACGTCAATCGACTAACAACTCCACAAACAATTGCTCAATCTGGTGCAACATCAATCAGAGAAAGAATTAGGCAGAAAATCGCCTCTTGCAATATTCCAACAATACAACAGGAACAATTGGTGGATGTGTTAGCTAAACACCCTGACATCTGGAGAGAGAATCCAGGCCGCGTTGAATGCTACCAACACGAATTAATCGTCAACGAGGATGTACCCTTTGTTCAACGAACGTATCCAATTCCGATGAAATACCTTGAGCACGCGGACGAAGAGATCAAGAAGATGCTGGAATATAACATCATTCAGCCTTCCAACAGTCCGTACATTAATCCGTTGGTTCCGGTCATTAAGAAGAACGGAAGCATCAGACTGTGTTTGGATGCGCGCATGCTGAATCGAACATTGCTGGGTGATCATGAAATGTCAGAGACAATCGACGCGATATTCTAACGTTTTCCAAAAATCGCGTATGTATCAAGCATTGACTTGGTTAATAGTTTTTGGCAGGTTCCTCTCACCCCCAATTCGCGCAAATACACAGCCTTTTTATACCGCGGCCAATGTTATGAGTTTGTAGTCACTCCGTTTGGCTTGAAAACGAGCAGCGCGAGTCTCGTACGTGCCCTAAGATTGGTATTGGCAGGAATGGAGTCGTTTATCATAAATTTTATCGATGATATTGTTACGTTGCGCGCGAGCAACGGCGCGCAACGTAAAAAGGAAAGAATAATTAATTAATGAGTGAGTGGATTTTTAGGTAGTTAAATTTCAATTAATTGGTTGGAATTCAACCCCTAATTCCTGCTTCCCTATTTTAGCGCGATGGTTGGTATCGCTGCCACCAGTCTCGAGCGTATTAACGCTCTCGACAAATTAAAAGACGAAAGACAAAATTGATAAGATATTAAAAGATTATAATTATTAGCCTTTCGTTGGGTTCGTTCAGCGCTTGGTCCCGTACGGGACCCTCCTTGAATCTGGGTATGTTGGTAGGCGTGTTTTAACTGAAACGTGTGAGGTGTGTTCGAAATAAAAGGAAACTGTTTAACTAAATGAAACTGGTTTAATCGTGAATGAAAATCAGATAATTGCCAAAATTATGAGTTCAATAATTTAGAAATTTGGTTAAATTGAAAATTACCAGTTCTGCAAAAATGTGAACAAATGTAAAGATGCTTAAGATTAGTTAACAAGGTATATATATATATATATGAATATAAAACACTCTGATATCACATTTGAAACCGACGAGTATATTACCGGGCGCGTAAAAATGATTATAACAATTTCGCTCTCCGAATTTAACTATACGATTGGCGGTTTCCGCCTGCGGTGCACCCCAGCCTGAGAAATTCTCGTAACTCTCGAAAGAGCTGGACTAAGGTGCCCTTCGGATGATGGAAAGAGACTGGAATTGCGAAATTGTAATAACCGAAAATAGTATTTAAAATTGGATGATATCAATACCTCGTACGGTGGAACGATCTGACCTGAGGAATTCTCGTAACCTTGAAAGGCTGGACCAGATCGCCCGTTTTGCCAATTGAATAACGTCGTGATCGAAAAATGTAACTGAAACGACTTACCGTTACGGTGTACAATAAAATACAAGGTAAATTGGCTTGCTAGGTTTGGTGTAATCGCTCGATGATCTGGAACACCAAAGAAACGGTAAGATCGTCGATCACTGCACTTGTCGCGGCGAGAAACGGATTATTACGGACGAGTACGTCGACGAGAGACAAACGAATAACGATTTACGATTAATTACGATTACAACGAATATAATTACGCGGGGTGAAGTTAGTACGAAGAACTACGCGAGCAAACGATTTAAAATCGGAAAGAAAAGATAGAAAATTTAGGTAGAAGGAAGATTTTACGTGCGCGTCTGTGAGTCCTTATTCAGAATACCGATTATTTTAACTCGCACGGCACTCTGCCTCGCTACGCGGAGGACTTTACCGCAGAGAAAATATCGCGAATTTCCGAATAACTCTGTCTCTCGGACACACGGGCTCCCGATCACGTACTTACGATTGATCGATCAAGAGTGACAAATTTCGTGCGCGATCGACGGCCGAAGGGCCCGTCGCGCGAACATCTTCCTTGGAGGGGACGGTTTGGCGAATCGTAGCCCGTTTTCGGAAGTGTCGCGTGCCCGGTGATTGGCTAAGACGCGCGAGCTAGACGAAGATCTTTCATCCCCTTTCTTTGGTGTTCCTTCCTTTTCTCATTCGTCGCCATAATAGTTTCAACGGTTTTCAGAAACTACGCAGTATTTCTCGTTATACATATAATTAATTAACGGCATTTATTCGAGATGTAACTATTAGTTTAATTGGTGTGCAATTTGAGATTTGATATTGAAATATAAATTAAAATTGAAATATCGGGTTTGATAGGAAACCGTCGTTCGTATATCGTGATTGAATTATTCATCCCGATTTGCAATAAAACAGTATGATTTTATATGTTTGACAGCGGATGATGCGCTTACGGTGGTTGTAACGCCGTGGCGTATTATGCAATCTATCGCGCATTAAAGCTATCGCCTCGATATATTTGGTATTTCGCATTTTATAAATTTTTAAACAATTCTAGATCTGGCGAACGTTCCTTCGAGAACGTTCCTTTGTTCAAAATTTGCCGTTATCGCTAGGCAGTTCTTAGAATTCCGATACAATAGTGTTTATTGCTTCGAACGACCCTTGATTTTCGAACGGCGGTCGAACGTTCGCGACGTTCGCTTTCGTAAGGGTTCTCAATTCTTACTTTCATTGTTTAAATTTGTTTCATCCATCCACTCTCTCATACTATTATTACAATCAGGTAGCGATGATCCTTGTTGGACCGGCTGACGCTTTGTGCAACAGAGTGAGAAAGAGGTACCCAACAAAAGAGTTATTACGATTTTCCCGTTTCTACGCAGTTACCAAGGGAAATTCCCGAAATGCGAAGCACTGGCTAACTGCGTAGCGCTGGTGTTATTGCTACGGCTCTCTCTCTCTCTCTCACTCGAGCTAACCCGAGTTTTTGTGCGTATTAGCTTCTTATTACAATGGCTGGCGACGATAGTTTCAAGGAGGGTCACGTAAACTATTGAAAAGTAGAAAATAGAAACGACCTTTTCGCGTGTACCTCGCATGAGGAATTCTCGTAACCCTCGAAAGAGCTTGACGAGATACACGGTTCCAGGGTAGAGCAGGTAAAGAAGAGAAAGCGATAGAGGAAGTCAAAAATAGAAAGGAATTAAACTCAAACTCTTCCCTGTACATCCCTGCATGAGAAATTCTCGTAACCTCGAAAGGCTTGACAAGAATGTACAAGGTCGAGGAGGAATGAAAAGGTTGGCGGAAAACCGAAACACCCGCCCATACGCCCCTCACATGAGAAATCCTCGTAACCCAAAAGGGCTTGATAAGGGACGCAAGGCGGATAAATTTCAAATTTTCCGCCGGGACGTAACAAATCCTCCCCCCTTAAAACCATCGCCGCCCTCGGCGATGCTTAGCCTAAAAATCACGAAGGATCGGTTGGTACACCCGATCATATAATACCCGGAGCACCAAACTGGGGCGAACGCGCACCCAACGATCCACACTCGTCCCGCCGACCGACAAGCTCAGCACCGTTGCCCTGCCCTGCCTCCTAACGATTTCAGTGGACTCGATGACGGTCTGGTTTGTCACCCCCAAGCATCCTTCCACGTCCAGGGCGACTAGGCGTGAACAGCCACGTACGATAGCCGTCGTGTCTTCATCGGTGATACCTTGGCTATCACGCGCTCTAACTTCCTCCAGGGTGGCTATCGTGGCTAAAGCTGGCGCCGATACGGTGGGGTGAAGGTTATTGATCGTGATCTTCTCCAATCTCGGGAGGTTCCCCAAGGATTCTAGGGCGAATTGCCCCCTCACATTGGAGCATCCCGAAATATCTAACTCCAATAACTGATGTAAGTGTTCTCCCACACTTCTGATGAAAGTGACGTCTACCCATCCACAGAACAACACTCTCAAGATCGTAAGTTGCCGGAAGAGTTCCGGCAATGAGCGCGCTGCCTCCACTGGCCCTAGCTGGAGCTCGATGAAGACCGGATCCGGCACGTCAGCGGCGTCCGGGATTTCTTCTTCCTCTGCTCCGTCGATAATCGGGGCGAAGTCGATATCGATTACCACAAATTCCTGTACTGAGCGATGGAGATCCTCGTTATTCATGAGGGCGTCCAATGGTTCGGCAGAGGACAGGGCACGACACTGAGCAAGCTCAACCGACGAGAGCGAGCGCTGGGCCGCCAGACACGCGGCCACCGATGCTGAGGACAGCGACGCGCAATCCCGAAGCCTTATCTCCTGAAGTGTCGGGGCCATCCGCGGCAACGCCGCCCCCGCGAACCCGGAACCTGTGGCCACGAAGCTCGCGAGACGCGGC